CATATATCATTGCCTCAGTTTGCGTGCCTGTGTGCACGCATTTCGAGGCACTTCTTTTTCATCTACCGGCATCCTATGTGAGTGTGGCTGAGGCTCTCTCATGTTGGTATAAGCCCATATCATGTTTTCATGCCATTACATCGCATTCCGCCATTCCCTCGATTTGCGTGCCCGTGTGCACGCATTTCGAGGCACTTCTTTTTTCATCTACCGGCATCCTATGTGAGTGCTGAGCTCTCTCATGTTGGTATAAGCCCATATCATGTTTTCATGCCATTACATCGCATTCCGCCATTGCCTCGGTTTGCGTGCCCGCTGTGCACGCACTTCGAGGCACTTCATTTTCATTTCACCGGCATCCTATGTGAGTGTGGCTGAGGTTCACTCATGTTGGTATAAGCCCATATCACATTTCCATGTCATTTATATTGCATTGCGTATACCATTGCCTCGGTTTGCGTGCCCGTGTGCACGCATTTCGAGACATCTCATTTTCATAGCATTGTGCATACTAGGCTGTATCTTAGTTGCATTCATGCATGTCATGCATATTGCATCGTGTTCGGGATAGGAGTTAGCCCGGGCACGGGAAACGAGGTGCGTTTCGTACTCCGAGTGACAGAACGCGCCTCAATTCCCCAGTCACCGACACTCTGGATCATCCATGATGGAGTTAGGTTTTAGCTGTACTTTCATGTGCATTCATCCTATATTGAATTGTGCATTTCGACTCCTCGGCCCTCATGCCTCGGTATGCGTGATTGGTGGCACGAGGATCGAGGCATGCATATATCTGTGCAAATACATTGCTATGCCCCTTTCCTGCTCTCTGTTGCAGCAAAATGAAGAATCAGCAACTTTTTGGGACTTGGCACGCTTTCCAAGAATAACTGCTAAACAGAGGCTAATTGGGGCATCCCGGTGGATTTCCGCGCAAGGCAACCTAGACATGCATCATTCATCAGGAGCAAGGCGGTCCCTGGCTTGCACGCCAGTTTTACAGCCTTCTTAGTTAATTCATTAATCAATTAGGAATTTGTATATTATATGGACTGTAATATTCGGGACTGTAATATTCTTTTATTCGGGACTGTATATTTATTCGGACCCTCTGCGCGAGGGCATAATTGTAATAAGTGTGCGTGAGTGTGATGTATGTCTTCCAACCCCACATCTTTCTTCCCTTTTATTTACCAGCTTACGATGGTTAGATTAGGGCATGTTTCAATTAGCATACAGTATGATAGCATGTTTGCATTCATTCATCTGTTTTGCATGCACCGGGCTCGGCGCACCATACTAACTGCATCGTACTTTCAATTCCAAATTGAATACATGTTAGTTGTAGCATTTCATATGCCATGTTTAGAATAGCCGAGCCTGCTATAGTTGCATTTTTGCATGTGTTGCATTAGGCATTTCTGTATATTTAGGATCATTCATGATTTCTAATAAACTTCTTTTTTTAGCTTTGGAGTACTCGGTGAGTTTTTATGCTTTAGCATCCTTGCATGCGTGTGAGTGACTGCCATGAATAGCATGCTTACCATGAGGCTAAATGCTTATGTGATATAACTGCCTGAACGCCTGTGGGTGAAGGTTGGGTTATTTGAATTGGAATAATTCATCAAATGTGTGTTTTAAGCCCACTAGATAGTGGCAAAATCATGTTTTCTAAGCCCACCCGAGGGTGGCAAATCCACGTCTTAGCCTACTTGCGGGTAGCACCATCAAACCACTTTCAAATAAACGAACATGAAATGTTTTGTTCCAATTCAGGCAACTCAGTCTATACTTATATGCTGTGTGCATCACATAGTAACCTAGGCTAATAACCAGAATAAGGACACACAAAGTTTTCAAAAATTGATATCATGGTTAGTAGAGGCCGATCTTTGATCGGGCGAGCGGGGGTGCTCACGAAGTGACCTTCCCCAATCGTACCCAAGTTCCGGAGCCGAGGCAACTTTGGTGATGACGGACACGTGGCCTTTTGGCACCGAGTCAGGGTTTCCTAAATTTCCCAAAATAAAATATTTAGGTGGCGACTCTGTATCTGGCAAAGCAGTCCATGTTTGGCACTTCTTTCAAAAATCAGTTTTTCTCAAAACGATTTGCCAGATTTGGACTCTTTGGTTCAGGCTTAGAACCGTGACTACGAAAGTCGAGTCCGAGCTGTAGCGAGGTCCCCCCGCGGGCTTGTCTACACAGATACAGTACGTGAATGTGGTATGTGTCATATGTGCTCTACACAGGTAGCCTATCAATGCAGTAAAATGTTCAAGTTTAGCGTGTCATCAGAAGTATGATAAATGTGAGAAAACTAAAGAGTACCTGGACACCCAGGATGGACAGCTGCGCCTCTCTCCGCAAGACCATGCCCTCAAGTAAGGCTACCAATCCGAGCACCTCATCCATGTACTCCTTGGGTGGCTGCAGATACAAGCTCAAGTCATCAATGAATAAACAAATGCCAAAGTATCTGTGTGATAAATGGAAAGCGGTGGAGCATACCAGTGATGAGTCAGGATCACTAACGTATCGGTGATCAGGCATAGGAGGCTCTATCAGAATCGGGTATGAAGTCCTGTATCGCCATCCCGTCAACTCGGTCGGCATGTTTGGCCACCCAACATGATGATAAGTCGGAGGAATCGGGGAAACCAATCCACCCCCACCTCTAGATGTACCAGCCCTGCTGGTGGAAGGGACATTTGCAGCCCGAGCCCGACTCGATGACGGCATACCTGCAGACCTCCTCGTGGGAGTACAGACACCTGTCAATGGAGGCATCAAGTATGTGTGAAGGTAGGTCGCGTACTCCCCCTACTCCAAATGTAGTAATGCATCGGTACCCTGCATGGCGCTAGTGGCCTCTTGGGGAGGGAGCCTATCAGCGGTCCGCATGTCGTCTGGAGGTGCTGAGGGGATGTCCTGAGCAGGGTAGCCCCATATCTGGCGCAAGAAGCGATCCCCCAAAAACCAGGCCCTACCAACTGGCCCCTTGTAGAAGTCCCCGAACGCCCCGGGAGGGTGAGTCCCGTTCTGTTCATTTTGGGGTTACTACAGCTCGGACTCTCAAATCGTTACGGTTCTTAATCTCGAACCAAAGAGTCCAAATCCGGCAAATCGTTTTGAGAAACAGATTTTTGAAAAGAAGTTTCAAACATGGACTGCTTTGCCAGATACAGAGTCGCCACCTAAATATTTTTTATGGGGGAATTTAGGAAACCCTGACTCGGTGCCGAAGGCCACATGTCCGTCATCACCAGAGTTGCCTCGGCTCGGGAGCTTGGGTACGATTGGGGAAGGTCAGCTATGAGCACCCCCTCTCGCCCGATCCGAAGATCGGCCTCTACTAACCATGATATCCGTTTTTGAAAACGTTATGTGTTCTTAAACCAATTATTAGCCTAGCATTACTAGTGTGTTTTTTTTCTAGTTTTGACTAAACCAAGACATGCTAGTTCGAAAAATTGACATTTACTCTAAGAAAAATTATTTTTCGTAGTTTTGTTAGTAATGAACCGTCTTCAACAAATAATTCACTTTTTAATGGGGCTCTAAGTAACTAGCTCCGGATACTAATTTCATGTTCATAGAAGATGCTTTACCTTCACTGTTTCAAAATCGAGCACTGAAGAGGACGGTAGTGAGAGATCTTATTTATTTTTAGGTAAACTTACAATTATTGACATTTTTTAATAGTGTTTGATAAAAAATATCATCCTAGGACATATTAGCTAATAAGTCTACCTATTAGGACTTCCACTTAATTCCTCCTCTATTTTTTTTGTAATCTCAAGTTTGAAACTACTCAATCGACAATCCAACGAGTAACTACTCTAATTAAACACAAACATATGATCAAACAGTGAACAAGCTAGTTTGCCGGCATGGCAATTATATCTGCATTTGTTCCAATGTGAAAAAGAGATAATTAAGCATAACAGCATTCATGTAACCACCCCACCCGGGTATGTCGGCTTTTAATCCCATTTGGCAATGCATTTAAGACAACCTGGAAGTATTACTACATACCCAATAAGATCAAGGACAAACAGAAAATGATTAAAAATAGAAAAGAAACAAACAAACATAAACCGACAACCTCATTTTACAATGACATACAATTCGACAAGAGAAAAAAAAACACGTTACAACACACTATAGTCAGAAATCAACCACTCAACTTCCGGGTAATGCAAAACTGATCATGATCAATTATATGGGGCATTTGGACGACAAAAAGGTTTGTTTCATGCAAATGCACACCTTAAATTCCCCGAGCCAAAATAGTGGGGAGCTAATATTATTAATATTTGATTATCACTTATGTGCATATCAGCACACTTGGAGGAGTGAAGGGTAGAATATGGATTTTAGTTCCAAGAGTCAGTGAGTTTGCTATGGTGTATGATGAGATATATGGTCTCTACGCTTGAATAATTGCCACTCTTAGGTTTATAATTTTAGTGATGGAATCCTAGTTTACTTGGGTTCCATTGAATTTCCAAACATTCCTAATTTTCCAAAATGACTACATTACTGCAAAAGGAACTACTTCCCAAATTTTTCTTTCTTATTTTTTTGCACTTGATACTATAGCTGAAACCTTTCCACCACTGTAATAAACCACTAATAGATTTGATTCATACCTGAAGCATCTGCTTCCCATATCAGTTTATCTTCATTGCCTATGAGTAGAGGTAGTGCATTGACCAGTAATTCCAAGAGCCTGTTAATAAGTTCTACTCTCCAGGTGAGCAAATTTATTCTAAACTCCAAATTCTATTTTGTAAAGTTTTGTACAAAAATTTTTGAGTTTTCTTTTTATATAAAAGACTAATATGAAGGAATATTAGAGAACTACGAACTATACCATTGAAATTAAAGTAACCAACATCAATTTTATCCATCAGATAAAGTAATTAAAACTTCCCCTACCCCACAAATAAATTAAAAAAACAGAGGCAAAAAGAATTGAATGAATTTTTTTTTTAAACCTTGCACTGAATTGAAATTTTCCCAACATACAAATTAAACCCAACTAAAACCTACAGAAGAACATTTCACATAGAAAGCTCATATAAAGGAAAGAAATAGACAACCACAAATGAAATCCTAGAAGTAAATTTCAAAGAAACTCTAGATCTTCTCACATAATCTCTCTCTTCCTTTCTCTGTTCATGGGTCAAGATTGTTGATAAACATTGTTGGATCCATTTCACAATAAATTAAACTTTTAAATAATTGGGACTATAGAACAATCTGATATAATTTTAAACAATAAACAAATAACATAACAGAGCAAAATTAAAGCAATTATAGCAATTATAGTCCATTTCATTCCATATTACACCAAACATAATCAAAATTATGAAAATCATGAAAAAGAAAAGACAAACCAAACATTATCAAACAATGTCATTGAAATCTCAAGTTCATTTTATTTGATACAAGACACCAAAAACACTAGTCGAAATTGTAAAATGAAGATCTCTCTTTTATGACCAAACTTGTGGAACAAAAGTGAAAAATAAACAAATAACATAACAGAGCAAAATTAAAGCAATTATAGCAATTATAGTCCATTTCTAAACCTTTTTTTCTCCTATTTTGTCAATCTTTATTTTGGACCTTTTTAATAAAATATTGAATTCCTTTAAACAGATTCAGATTAATAAAATATAAAATACAGTCACAGATTCAATTAAACAGATTGAATGTAAACAGATTCAGTTTGAATGTAAACAGACACAGATTCAGTTTGAATGTAAACAGACACAGACTAACAGACACAGATTCATGAAATTAACTGGGCAGTGAGTGTTTAGCTGAAGCACAATCATAAAAGAAAATTTATTTGCTTACCAAGTTGCCCAACTCTGAGACTAGTTTCTTTACTGTAGGCTTGAATTGCTAAATGACTAATCTCTGGTCACAAAACCTTGTGTGGAAGAATGAAGATGAGTACAAAATCAGCATTTCCGTGTAATATTTTTTCAAAATTCAAACTATAGGAAATTCAAAAAACAAATATAGCAAATTCAAGCAGAGGAAGATTGAAAATTGAGGAAGGTAGCTGGAGTTTGATATAAGCCTCTAATCTGGGCTGGTAATACTTATTTGAACATTGCGTGACTTTTTCATGACCAATATGGCATGGAGGGCAACAAATCCACTAAGATTTGGCTTGTTCATTGTCTTTCTAAATATATAATGAACTTATTTTTTTTGGGAGCCATCAGTGATCAAGTCTTCTAAAAGTCAGTGGTCAAGTTTCCCTAAATGTTTTAAATATGAAAGCACTCAACAAAATAGTTTTCTAGCTATAGTTAATCATGTTGCAGGTTTTTCTTCAAGTTATGGAGTGCTTACTCAATCGTTTTACTCAGTCAGCATTTATCAATTCTGTTCTGGATACTACTTTTCTCTGTTATTTTCATCACTATTGGCGAGAACTTTCTTAAACATTTAATAACAAACAGATTCATACAGATTATTCCACCTATTATTAAATTCATACCAAAATTAACAGACAGATGCATACCAAAATTATTCCACCTATTTTTTCTAAATTCCACCTAGTTGGTCAATCTAAATTCCAAACAAAACAATTAATAACAGACACAATTAGATGCCAAAACAGATTCAATAACAGACACAATATGAATTCCACACTTGATGATACTTTGTATCATTTACAAAGGAGTGTTATTTATGTGTGTCAAGCCAGAAAATGTTGCTAAGCCGTTTATGAAGTTTGATGAACAGTTTTCATTTACAAATGAGTGTTATTTATGTGTGTCAAGCTAGAAAAGACCAATGAATGCATGGTAAAAAATGTGAGCAGGTTAAATCTAGTCAGTAATGAAACTTGTTTTAGATTGAATAAATTAATCCTTGCAATATTTTCTCTATTTGGTTATATTTTGCTCAAAAACTATTCTCCAAAATGGTAGAAGGCACCCGTCAGGGACAACAGCCCAATCAAGTTAACTTCTACATAGAAAATCTCCGAGGTGTCATGCAGCATTTAAAACCCTTAGCTAATAGGTCATCATATAAGTGTTTCACAATGATAAAAATAAGATAGAAAATATATATCACTCACCTGATTGGAGTTCCTGGACTATAGAGTGGATTCTTAACAACCTATTCAACTTACAAATTGTAAATATACTTCGGGGAATCCCTTAGATCACCAGTCCTGGGATGAGTGACGAGAATGATCTGCAAACAAATTCATATGTAGTTGTACAATGAGAACTGTGTGGTTACACAGATACCAAAAATTAGTAATGAGAGCCTGAAGTGAAGTGAATTCTTTCTTTCAGAGTAGTACTCTTACAAGTAGTCTCATGTAAATCAAAAACTTCTCAATTTTAAGTATAATGCAGTGTAAAAATTCAAAACAAAACCTTTCTCGCAAAAGAGACTAACTTGTCACATCAAACAAGACATCTTAATGACCTTAATCCTATCATTCCAGTCTAAAGTATGCACAGCATCACGTTGCCATTACATTGAATACATCAATTAATGTCACTGGGAACACAAGTTTTCTTATCAAAGACTTTCATATGACCTCATCACGTGATAGTCACATCCATATTTGGGAGCTCAACATACCAGATGGACTCTCCATAAAACTGAGTTTGTACGTATTGGTATGAAAGCTGTGAAATGAACACCCTTGTCCTGGTAACTGAGGCACCCCAAGATTTCCCTTCTCTGCACTGTCCAAAAGAGTCCCATGTAAATCATACAATCATTGAACACCAACCACAACCAAAATAATTAAAAACAATATCTGGCACAACATTTGGACCTCAATGAAAAAATTAGCTCCAAATCCAAACAAGTGATGAATCATGAATCTATTACAGTGTGAGACTCCAATACCAAACAAAATATGTCTAACAAACATATGCAAATTTCAACAAAAACTTAATCAATCTCCAAGCTAAGAATAAATATGGAGTTAATAAGGCCAATAGATGATACAGGAAGAGTTTTCTGTTACAGGAATCAACATATCACATATGGCATTAGAACCAGTTATAGTGTTTCTAATACCATCTTATGGATCCCAAAACAAACAGTATATGCATGTCAAATTATTAGTTTTCTTTGCACAACCGAAACATTTTCTGTTTTATATAATCAAATAAATTTTTTTAATTTCTATGGGAAATCAAAATACTCACGCAAACATATTATGTTTGAAATTCAAAACTTGAAGAAGCAAAACAAACCTTGTTGGATCCATTTTTGCAATCAAGGATTTAAGGGAAAAAAGTAGACCGAACATGAGCTTGTGGTCCTGCTGGGCATTAAGTTTTTCCATTTACGTTGTTGATCAAAAAATAATAAAAAAAATTACATTTATGTTTTGCCCTAACTCATTATTTTCATGCCTATCAAAAATATATAATTTTGGTACAATAAACACTCTACTGTTATGTTTTGAAAGGTATTTTATTATGTAGATCATATTAGAATGCATTCACTAACAAGTAGCAACACAACATAATTTTAGGAGTAATGGAAGTGTTGATTTGAGCATCTAAAAATCGAAGCCTATTGATGCTTGTGGGAATTTTAATCATAGTTTTTTTGCTTCATGCTTCTCAATGGAGTTGACATAAGGTCATGAGAAGTTATGTAAACTTCAATGTAAGTAACAGCACTAAAGGTCTCGAACTGTCAAAAAATTGTATGATAATCAACATCATTACAAGAAAGCAAGTAAAAATTGGCCTGCGGAAAAAGGATTTCAAATTCTGGGGAAACCTGGAATCTATTGGAGTACACAAGAAATCTGAGAAATGAACAAATCTAGAAAGAATAAATAATGAACATACCTGTTAAGCTTTGTAGGGATTGCTCAATCTCCCAGCAAGCCATTACTGCTTCCATTGCATGCACACGAACATGTTGTTGCAGTTGTTCTTTAAAAGAACAGAGCAAGAGTACATAAGCGTATTGATGGTTACTTGTATTCTTGCAAGAATTTAGGTTTTATAATCCATAGAATATATTATTTTGACAAATATTAAAATGGCTCCCAAGCATGAAGCAAAGTTCATCAGGACTTGTAAAAAGATCGGCTAATCATCATGTGAAGCGTCAAGGAGTCTGCATCGTGCTTGGTGTTTTCTGTTGACACAAGAATTTTTTGCAGATTTATTTTTACAAAATGATTCATAATTCCACCATGTCAACTAAAGATCCCAAAAAGCCTGACATAGAATGACAAAAAGAAAAGTAGTGGGAAGTTGGATATCCTAATATTTCCTCCCAAATAGCAGTCCACTATTTGATCATTTAGGCAACTTAACTGTAAAACACCGGAGAACTAGATTTATTTCCAGAGAAATGGGTGCATAAATTCTTTCTGACCAAATTTTAGTATTCAATCTCATGTGTACTGAAAAAAATGAGAATAAACTTCTCTTTTTTTTTTTATTTATTCATTGACCAGTTCTGAAGGGAAGAGGAATCATATGTTCAAACAGTACATAAGCAAAACCCAGTGGAATGAAGAACTGTAATTCCACGCAATTCATTATATTTAGCTCCCAAAAAATCAATTAAGAACCTAAACATAATATAGTAGTCTGCATAAAGTTCTGTTTATATTCAGGTTTCAGGAACTGCTTTCGTGGATTTATATGACAGATTTGTGATTAGGCAGAATGAGAAAATATTATATGGCTCTAATGTCATGACAAAAACATGAGCACCATAGAGCTTGAGAACACCAAGTGATCTGCAAGACTCAAGTTCTTAATCAGTGTCTCAGAATATGCTCAAGTATCTGCCACCAAATACTGACTTTGGCATTCAAAAAAAGTGAAATCGGATAATTGAAAGAACTAAAACAACTCCTTAACAAGGCACATTAGATTCCAAATTATGTTCTCATTTTGCATACCATCACTATCCATCTTTAAGGCAAGATTATCACTTCTAAACAAGTTTCAATCATAATACACCAGTTTAATACCTTGCAGAAGATGAAAGTTATGACTCTGTTTGCCTTTCGGAGCCAATCCAGGG